CTTTCATCGACCCTCCACCCTACCAAGCATGACATCCTTCTCCAGGGAATGGTCCCTTCTTACAACATGACCAAAATACGTGAGTAGCAGGTGTGGTAAAATCCCGGACCCTGGCAAAGTTGAGCTCTTTATAATCGATAGACCTTGGATAATCCTATAGGACAATTAATGAGCCATTGCATTTTCACTTGGTCAATATTTTTTGAGAATTGTTCATTAGATGGGTCCCTTTGCCTTCAGCATTGTTTAGTAGTAATCTGAAAGCTCTGGCCTGTATCATATCCCATCTGAGGACTGGATTAGATAAAATCTAAACCATGGAAGACTTGTCTTTTCAGTCACAAAGCCTGGAGATTTAAACCCTTATCATTTTTCTACCAAATAACTATGCATTAGCTTAATAATAATATATTTTTTAAAAATATATATATTTAGAAATAGTCTAAAGGTCTTGCTTAAGATAAAAAAAAAATCTGGTAACACTTCATGTGTGAAGTGTGAAGAAAAAAAGACTCTCAATCATTGGCGATGAGAATATAAATTAAATACAACTTCTCTAAAGGGTAATTTGGCAATATCTACCAAGAGACATACACTTTGCCCAACAATCACACTTCAAGGAATTGATCCTATAAGTATTGTTTGTACATATGCCAATGACGTATACAAGTTATTCATTGCAGCATTATTTTTGTTAGTAGGAAAAGAGAGGAAAACTAAATTCCCATCATAGACAGTCTGGTTAAATAAATCATGGTATAATAATGCAGTGGAATCTCTGGAAAATTTTTCTTTCAAAAAGTGTGGTGAAGCTTATTCTCTTGAAGTCATATTAAATGAGTGAAATGATCTCCAATTCATAGTGAATGAAAAAGGAAAGTAAGATATAAAACAGTGTATAAAGATACTGATGACTGTGTGATAAAAAGCTTACTATCACTGTGTTTTTTATTTGTATAAAATCACAAAAGATACACAATAAACTCATGGTGTTATGGCATTGGTTGTTTTCAAGGAAATAAACTGGATGGCTTAGAGACAGGGATGGGAGGGAGACTTTTCACTGTATACTTTTTTATACCTTTCAATTTTCAACCATATGAATATATTACCCTTCAAAAAATACATTGAAAAATTTTAGCATTTTACAAAAACTCCATATCTGTATTCTGTGCTTATGTTTATGTGAACATATAGAAATAAAAATATCTGGAATTATACTCACCAAACACCAAACAGGTGTTATGCCTTAAGAGAGAAGGAGGTGGGAAGTTAAGTGTATGTAATGTGGGGCAGGGGATGGACATCTACTTTTTACTTTATATTGCTTGATTTTTTAAAATGAGACTTCCTAATTACAGAAAAAAAAGTACATAAAAAGTCTTGTACTGAAAAAGCGATTAAAAATATAAATAAATAAATAAGAATCAAAATTAAATTTAAAAAAAGTCTTGTACTGTAGGGCTGGAAATACTGGGTCACAAGAGTATGTTTGTTTGTTTGTTTTCAATCCAGTCAAATGTATGAGAGGCTCATTGTATGAATTTGGTCTTGAGTCACATCATTCCCTTGAGACTTTCTGATGTTGTGAGGTAATATGGCCATGCCGTTCGAGGTCTGACAATGATACAGTAAATTGACGTTTATTCTTAAAACCACCTCTGTGAACAATGTAAAAATTTCCCACATCTAAAAATCTATCCAAGAGACAGATTATGAAAAGAAAAGAAAAGGAGTGGGGAGCCCCTCACAATTCACTCAAAGGCACAGCTCAAATTTCAGAAGTGTTTAGACTTAGGAGCTATGGGAAAGAACTTGGGTTTAGAGTTAGAAAGCTTATGTGTAAATACATTATATGCTAGCTGTGGACTTTAGTTAATCAACTACTTTTAAGAGTCTCATGTATTGAAAAATAGGGAAGGTAATCTCTATTCTATTACCTATGTCATCAGGTTAATGAGAAAATAGAATGATATATATGAAAGTACAATGTAAACTCTAAAGTGTTGTGCAAATACTGTCATTTTTTACTACCCATAGTGGCAGAGATAATAACAGTCGGCTACAGTAGCTTCTCCCATACGATCATGAAACACATTTCTCCCTCTACTCTCAGAATCACATTGTTGTTGTTGTTGTTATATGCCGTTGAGTCGGCCCCGACTCATAGCAACCCCTCCTTGGGTTTCCGAGGCAGTATCACTACGGAAGTAGGATTGCCCAACCTTCCTTCCGAGGAGTGGCTGGTGGGTTTAAACCACCAGCCTTCTGGTTAACAGAAGGCACTATCCTACCAGAGCTCCCCAGAATCACATGGCAACATTAAAAACATAAAAGAGAAAGTGTCTGGTTCAAAATGTAGCATTATATGTGGTTCCTTGCACTTTTCTTGCTTCCAGGCACAGGAAAAAGGTAAGAATGGGTATTTTATATTATTACTAAAGAATACCTGGTATTAGAAAAGCAAAATAGAAATTTTTCACTGAGCTTTATGTCTTTTTGAACTCCTGTATAGGAATAAAATATCATATAAACCTTGAAATTTTTCTTATTTCAGTTATCTACCTCATACTCTACCATGCCATCTTTGTGTTCTTTGCCTGGACTTATTGGAAGTCTATCTTTACACTACCACAGCAGCCAAACCAGAAGGTAAGAATACAGGTTACTTCATAAAGCTAAGAATAGAAGAAGGTAGAAATGCTGATAAAACAAGAGAGGGCAAAACCAGGAGCAAATGTCCTCCCATTATGAAAGAGAGATTGAAAGTAATCTTAATGGAGAATATTTAGTGATAAAAGTAAATTAAAGGACAGATAGATAATTGAAGGAATTTGTGAAATCACCAGCCATGGATATCTTTAGGACTTGTTGTTGTTGTTCTTAGGTGCCATCGAGTGAACTCCAACTCATAGCAACCCTATGCACAACAGAACAAAACACTGCCCAGTCCTGTGCCAGCCTCACAATACTTGCTATACCTGAGCCCATCGTTGTAGCCACTGTGCCAATCCATCTCTTTGAGGCCCTTCCCCTTTCTCATTGACCTTCCACTTTACCAAGCATGATATCCTTCTCCAGGTTATGGTCCTCTCTGACAACATGACCAAAGTAGGTGAGACGAAGTCTGGCCATTCTTGCTTTCAAGGAGCATTCTGGCTCCACTTCTTCCAGGACAGATTTGTTAGTTGTTTTAGCAGTCCACGGTATTTTCAGTATCCTTCACCAACGCCACAACTCAAAAACGTCAACACTTCTTCAGACTTCCTTATTCATTGTCCAGCTCTCACATGTCTTCAAAGGGACATCGTTGCTCTTCAGCACTTGTAAGAGGTCTTTTGCAGCAGATTTCCCCAGTGCAATACATTGTCTGATGTCTTGACTGCTGTTGATTGTGGAACCAAGTAATATGAAATCTTTGACAACTTCAAACTTTTCTCCATTTGTCATGATACTGTTTATTGGTCTAGTTGTGAGGATTTTTGTTTTCATTATGTTGAGATGTAATCCATACAGCGGACAGTAGTCTTTAATTTTCATCAGTAAGTGCTTCAAGTCATCTTCACTTTCAGCAAGTATATTGTGTCATCTGCTTATTGCAGGTTGTTAGTGAGTCTTCCAACAGTCCTGTACCACACTCTTCTTCATATAGTCCAACTTCTTGGATTATTTGCTCAGCAAACGGATTGAGTAAGTATGGTAGAAAAAAACAACCCTGACACACTCCCTTCCTGATTTTAAACCATGTAGTATCCCCTTGTTCTGTTTGAACAACAGCCTCTTGGTCTATGTACTGGTTCCACATGAGCACAATTAAGTGTTCTGGAATTCCCATTCTTCTCAATGTTACCCACAATTTGTTATGATCCACATAATTGAATGCTTTTGCATAGTCACTGAAACACAAGTAAACATCTTTCTGGTATTCTTTGCTTTCAGCCAAGATCCATCTGACATCA